GAAATATCCACGAGACAAAGAGAGTGGGCGCAGCGCAGAGGAGACTGCAGGCCATTATAACCGCTCAGGAGAGAGGAAAATAGTTTGGCTTCTGCAGGAATTGTTAATAATAATATAAATTGGAACAGTGTCAATCATGTTTGCGAATGGTTCTCGAATTGGGACGTTTCTGGCACAGAGGTTTGCGATTGTGCTTAACAGCGAGATGGTACTCGTTCAGCTTCTACTTCAAGAAGAGATTTTCTGAGGGGGGGTTGCATGTTCTCTCTGTGTCGCCACCACCACTAAAAACATGTACAAGGGGAATGAATGAATGTGAGTGAGTGAACAAATGGAGATTGTGTTTTTGGTGCCTTGTTTCTGTCATTGCCGCGTGTGGAAGTGAATAGAAATAACTCCAAAATTGTAAAGTGCTTTGTGTAAACTAGGTCTGTGCTTTATAAATAAAGATTACTTAATTACTAATTGTATTATCTGTACTAGAATGAGTAACCGAGCATTATACATTCACTTATACTAATTGCACTGAAAAGGGTAGGCAAAATAGGCATTAGTTTCAGCCTACTCCTTTTTCGGTCTTTCTTTCTGCTGGAAATTTACAGCTCTGTGGAAAAATGTTTGGCTGTTAAAAAAAATATTTTGGTAACAATACTTCAATTGATCTCACAAATTTCTTGATCTTGAGAATTTTACAGTTAGAATTATATAATTATAATTTGCGTCATACCAAATGATTTAAAACTGTCTGAAATGTGTTGCTGAGTTTGAGAGAAAAGTATTTGCAGTAGCAGTGAGTTTCTTTTCTGAAGCGGTCAACTGCCCAGTCCTGAGCCTTCCACACAAATCATTAAAATAGTAAAAAAGTATATTCTGCATCCAGGACTAAAAATAATGATTTATACTTTCTGCAAATTCCACTAAAATAATGTGAAAAATAAATCCAAACAGCCTGAGGTTCTAGAGAAACTAAACAATTGATACAGATCCTCATTTTCTTACTTTTACAAATTGTTTGAATCTACCCTCGGAAAAAAAATCTGTTTCATTCTTCAAATTTTGAGTTACGGTCATATTGAACAAGCATGTCTGGTGTAAAGTCTGCATGTGGTATAGTATCATGCAACGAAATTATAACGTGTTTGCACCGAAATAACAAAATGTTCTTTTGTAAAATTGGTGTGACTTCATCCTGTTCTCTCTGTATAATAACAGAGGATCTGTCACATCTGGCTCCACTTCCTACAAGCTCATTCTGTCACTAGGGGTGTGACAATATATCAATTTTTAGATATATCGCGATACTTTCTCCCGCGATTCGATTATCGATATGCATTTGCCAAGAATCAATATAAATTTTGAAAAATAATAATAATAATAATAATAATTTGATTTATTTTTTTATTTTTTTTTTTTTTAAATATTTTTTTATAAAATGTCATAGGCCATATGTACATACATGTAAAACAATGCACGGTGAAACAGGCAAAAAAAAAAAAAAAAAAGTTGTAGTTTTTTTTTTTTTTCCACATTTTTGATTAGGACAGATCTTAGAGCTTTAAGCAAAGACATATTAGTAAATTACAATATTTGTTGTTTTTTGTTCTTTCACCAGAACCCCTACAGAGGGTTAACATGATCCTATACCATATTATAAACCCAAACCCTTTTGAGCCACATTTGTACACATTGCCCTCCTCCTGTTCCTGTCTTTTTCTCTTTTCTCTCCTTCTAAGCAGCTCTTGGTGGAGTTTGTCTTCCTGCGTGCGCTGTCGGCTGGGAGCCCTGTTCTGTACAATACATTTTTAACGCGCTGTGGAGGCGGATCAATTATTCAGCCCTTCAAAGCTCCAGCCTCCTACCTCCGCACAGCCAGCACCAAACACGGGCCGCTCACATCCGACTAAAGGCTACACCAAATAACGGTTCATTCTGAGTGCAATTGTCTGCAAGGTTTAGCAGGAATGTGTTCGCGTGAAAGTTTGGGTTGGTCTCTGGGCGGAACTCCAGGTTTGCTTTAGAAATTAAATGCGCTATTTTGGCATGTTTCACTTCATTATTCATTTCCATTTAAAGGTGCTTTTCGTGCATTATTTAGAATTCTCAAAATACTTTCGTCGTCCTTAGACATTTAATTTCACCTTGAATGCAATGGGGTGCTAGGGCCGTTTGAGAGAAGGCAATAATGGTGATGGTGAACTGCAACATAGACTTTAAAGAGCGTTTAACCATCCAAGACGCCATTGCTCCAATAAAACTGGGGAACCAAACTTTGAAACCACAAAAAATGGACTGTGTCATAAAATTCAGCTCTAGTTATTTTCTAGTTACTGGTTATTTTCTCCTATAACCGTTTGGTTCTGTCACTAGTTTTTACACGCAAGTATTGTTGGTCTCTGTCACATCTTTAAATGAGCTTCTCAGAAAAGTGAAAAAGAGAGAATCAACGAATCAACTCAAAAACTCAAATAGTCACTCACAAAGCTCTCGCGTGTTGGGGCGGCAGTCTGACCTTGAGAGACAGTAACCGGCCCGACAGGCTGATCAGGAAATGTGTTTCTGTGATGGGAGAAGTGTGGACTGTGGGAGCTGTGCTGGAGAGAAGGATGAGGGCTCTAATGCAGGGCATCCTGGGTAACTCCAGACACCCTCTGCATAACACTGTGGCCGCTCAGAGGAGTAATCAAAGCAACAGGCTCCTATCACTGCGCTGTCGAACGGAGCGATTCAAAAGATCCTTTGTTCCTTCGGCTGTCAGACTTTACAACAAATCTGGATGAGTGTACAGGACACATGAATTCCTCCTACGGGCGATCAATGAAGTATCTATTTTTATTTCTAAAAAGATAACATGTTATCATCTGTTAACTCACTTTCCACTTTACCTGCTGCTAATATTACTATTGATTATCCTGGTGAAATTATCTGCTGCTAAAGTAGAACCATCTGTAAATACCTCCTGGTGCTACTAACTACAGCGTATACTCCGCAAGTGTCTTATCCCCGAAGCAAGTGCCATAATAGCTCCAGAGATGTTGTTATTATTGTAACATCTATTATCTTAAATTATAGATCCCGTTTGATGTGTGCATAACCTGAGTGCTGTTATTTTCTCCTTAGATTTATCTTATCCTATTTTTTATATACATTTTTGAAGACTATTTCTGTTGGGACAAACAACAAAAATTGTAATACAAAAAATAAAAAGTTTCATGTAAGTGAATTACTTAGTTCTAAAGTTATAATGTGATGGGTGAGTTCATAACTATGGACATTTCGGTGACTTTTTGCAAATGTCTTGATTTTGAAGCCTGCATATTTCACTGTGTTGTAGCTTATTATTACTATTGTTAGCTTTTTAGAATGATGAATTTAATTTTTTATTTTTGCTGCTACTGGACATCCGCATTTCTCTACTAAAGTATCTATCTATCTATCTAATAAAATGAATAGAACATTTAACATGATAATGTTTGTTGAGGCCCAGAAGGATGTCAGGTCAGCTTTAACACTGTGTCAGAGTTTGCAGGAATGATGAATGACTTATTTTGAATCTTGTACACGCTCGGCACAATAGGAATCCCTTACCAATCAGACAAAGTCACTATTAAATGACCGTACAAACACGAATACCAAAATACGCTGTTCAAATAAACAATGTTCAAATCCAGGTGAAAGACCGTTCTGTTTAGCTGTGCAGACAACAGAGGGATTTTATCTTTACTATTTTAAATGTATTGTGATTTTTATGATATTAATGCCTATATTGTTTCTATCTTGTGTTGTTAAGCAATTTGAGTTGCCTTGTGTATGAACTGTTCTATACAAATAAACTTTCCTTGCTTTGGATGACATCTACAGTCAATGTTATTTGCCCATTACATCCAAGATTTGGAGATTTACCAAGATCAAGTTCTCTCCTCCACTGACACAAACACAACACATGCATATTACACGCTGCATCACACTAGCAACACTGAAGGCCACACATTTATATTCACAGTCGAAGTCGGTCTTTTTGATGAAACAGAAAGCAGATACAGATGTCATGTTGGGGAAACAGAGCAGACATGCAGTGTGAACCCCGCCTATAGGGGCAGTCTTAGTTCAGAGCTGATGTCTGGATGTGGTTTGTACCGGCTCAACTCGAGTTAATCAGGCTGCAGGGATACAGAAGTGGGGCAATACGTGCTCAAATATTAATACAGGAATAATATTCACTAAAGTGCGCAGAAAGACAGGGTGAGTACAGTGTTGTAGCAGTATAATCATAGCAAACCAATCTGATGACTAAAAAGCTCAATATTTTACCAACTGGTGTTCAGAAAATGCTTTAATTACTGTACGGACATGACACTGGCAAAGTGGCCCTCAAGTGCCCTTTTTGGCACAATCTTCTCATAATTTCCTTATAAGATAGTTTATAAAGAGAGGGTAATAAAAACACAATTTCTGACTGTTTAACCAAATATGTCAAACAAATCAACTAGGGACTAGGCGTTCATGGGCCAAGATTTCATTGTTACATTTCCCCACAGGGATAATAAAGTAATAAAGTACCATCCACACATCTATTAAAGATAACTGTAAAAAGTTTGCAGCAGCCAGTGAGATCATACACACAAGTTCACAATGTCCTCCATTCATTTAAAAGTATTTACTGCATAGAGAGAAAAATATGAATAATATCATTTTACTTATATCGGTAATATGCTGCTTCAGATTTGGAAATAATTTATGTTTTAATGATGTGTTTGTGGCTGGTCTAATATCAACAAATATTTAAAACTATGAAAATGTATGACATAAATGATCATTTTTTTTTACAATTGGTAAACGGCTGACAGAAATATACGTACAATAAACCCAGCATGTGTGGAAGTGTTGAAATTTATAAAAACCAAATTGAACTTGAAACTCCACAAATACGTGTGTGTATGTGTGTGCATGTGCTTACGTGTGTACGTGTATAAGTGTGTGTGTGTGTGCGTGTGTGGACTCACCCCGACCCCGTCCTCCTGCCTGTACTGCTTCCAGGCCTGTCCCGTGTCGCTGTACAGCAGCATGTAGCGGCTCACCCAGTCCTCGCTGTTGGCCCTGCCCTGTGTGGACAGCGCCGTCACCTCCATGCGCTCCCGGAGGTCCAGCTGCAGCCAGGGCTCACGGTCTGTCACCATGGGAGACCACCCGCCCGCCCCTGGACACACAGAGACACACATAGTCACACTATTAGGAATAATTACATAACACATACACAAACTTACAAAGCGCTTTTTGGACACTCAAGACTTTTCAAATGACAAAATAATACAAGAATGTGTCAGCATCCGAATGGTCGTGGGTTCGATCCCCCCACGACCCATGTCATCTGCTCCCACTGAAGTCTGCTGTTGTTGTGTTCCTGAGCAAGACATTTAACCCCACATTGCCCAAAGCGCCCGCGGAAACACCAAGGCTGTATCTTTGTTGAAGCAGCAGCCATCTTCCCGTGGACCCACCTGCAGGAGGATCAGTGGTGCCATTTGATTTGGGTGGCAGCTCTGATTGCCAACCCCAACCCAGAAATGGACTAATGAACGATGAAAACGTGTCAGCAGCTTTGTACAGGCGGCTTTCGAGCCGTGATTGTAAGGTCTGTGATCAGTTGCAGAGACTGGGAGCAGCTTAGATCTTGCCCTCCAATGTTCTATGCTTTGTTCTAAGAGGAGTGAGGAGTGATGTTGGCAAATATTGATTAACAACTTTTGAAATATGACCTGATTGTCTCCTCACATTTTAGACATGTGACACAATAGCGCTGAAATTCATTGATGCGAGAGATTTAAATCCCCTCAAAAGCTGATAAAATACAATTAAAATAGATTGGGAGGACGGCAGTTGGCTTCCGGTTTATGAAAATACTGTCTGATTTTAAACTAGTCCATGGCACTAATAAGATCGGGAATCGCTGATCAAAATAAATTAAAATATTAGTGACAAATAATAGGACAGATCCAAGATGAGAACAAATATTTTGAACTGTAAAAACAATCCCTTCAGGATCAATAATCTTAAGAAGACAGGGAGGAATAAATTTGGACAAACTCTAGAAGGGAATGCACTTTAACTATTCTTTGTCAAATTTGCAATAAAAACAGGTACAGGCCCTTTTCAGGTAGCTACACTTTCAGGTCTTAATACATTTGTTTTGATAAAAACATGACAGCAGAGTTTTCTTATGAGTCCGTAGATGCAGAATTGTGTTGGGCGACTACATTAATCATTCTATTTACAGCATAGAGAGAAAAATATGAATGATATAATTTGCTTTATATACAGTAGGTAATATGCTGCACAGCACAGTTCTCTTATGAGTCAGTAGATGCAGTATTGTGTTGGGCGAATAAATGAATCTTTCACACTGAGAGTATTGCATTAATTTCTGAAAATATTTGATTGTGAACGTGTGGTGGACTGTAATTTCATAAAGTAACTCTATCTGGTCACAGTGTCCTCTGTGGCGTGAACCTTACCGTCGCGTCTGTTGATCTTGGCTTGTTGGGGCCCATAGCTGTAAGACGACTGAGAGGAGCTCTGGAAGGAGGACTGGGGCAGCGCGGAGATCAGGGCACTGCTGCAGCTGTCTGTAATAACACACAAGTAAAGGTGAGTGAGACATAACCTTCAGAAGCCATATGGGCACAGGGAACTCAATTATGATATCACACATTACTACAGTCGAGTTACACACTTGTCCATATTTGGAACAATATGAATCTAAATAAAACAAGCCTTTAAAGTTGTGCCTTAGATCCTTCTTTGACTTTTAGTCAAATTTTTGTCTCATCCTGGAAATAAAGCATCTAGTCTGCGAATCCCCATTGTGCCAGGTGCGCTAAAGTAATGTTCATCCCTAACCCTAACCCAAAGCCATTTTGGTTTGGTTTTGTGACCATCACGAGTTTTGCATGTTAGGGTGCACAGCCTTTCTATTTATCAAGCTGCTACAGGACCAGAAATAAATAAAAAAACTACCAAACAGGACAATAATTAAAAGAAAAATATCAGAGCATGTAGGATATGTCTATCTTGGCAACATACAGCCACACACAATGTCCCGCATATGTGTCCAACACAACGACAAACAGCCTCTCCTGTGGGACTTCCAGATCCAGACTGACAAAAAGGTAAAGGGGGAACAGACATTGTGGTGTTAGACACAGGGCAGTGCCTGGGGTGAATGGTGCAGCCGCGCAGTGACCACCAAACAGGAATTATAGATGCATTCAGGTCTTCAGAAAAAACAGAGCGAAGATCAGGGTCAACTCTACACTTGAAAAATCAAATAAAATCTTTATCTTCAACTCTATTAAACCTCAAAATATAAACAAATGTTAAAGGCAAAAAGCATGTTTACCCCTCATATTGTCTCACTGTATGTTCTATTTACACTGATATATAACTTTCTAAAACAGGACATATGTGAATATTCTCTTTATCTTTTTGAACGGCCCAAAAAAAAAAACATGTTCAGCTCTTTTATTGATGAAAGGAACATTGTTGCCATATGATGAAAGTAATAATATAACATTAAACATAATTTTTTTTTTTACCGCAACTCAGAGTTGGCTTCAATGGCCAAAAAGGTGCACTGGAAAAGAGTTTTAGTTGAACTGAAACCTCTGTTTTACGCGGTAGCCGACGACAGACTGCATTGTTTTATTTTGTAAACTTCCTGCATATTAATCAGTAGGTGAGCAAACAGCAGGAGGAACATGGCAAAAAAAAAAAGAAAAAACAAGTTCAAAGATGGAAAAAAATACATTCAGGAACTCATGATACCCAAAATATTGACAGCAAAATCCAAAAGGAAGTATTTGTCATCCATTTTTAATCTATAGGAATGAAAGTTAAAACAATACTTTCTGTTTGTAGATGTTATGTGTCATAAATTATATTTAAAGGAATATTCCAAAAGAAAAGGCACATCTCAAGGGTAAGTGTAAGTTTCTTATAATGCCAGCCACTCACCGTAACACCACACTCACAAGTGAAATCTTAAACTATATTAAGAAAGGTTTTCACTCTTACATATTGTGTGGCTTGTACAAAAAGCATTGTTCAATTTTAAATCATTTCACTTTGCAAATTGCCTGAAATCTCACAGTGTACATTTTAACTCACTTTGCTTTAATATAATCTAATACAGCGACGTTTACTTGTTTAAAAGACAATAATGGGTTATTAATGTATTTGTACTTTTAAGTGGTATTCGCATCAAAACAATAATTGTCGTTGTGTTGAAAACGTCTTCACAAAGAACGTATGTGAATAGTCAGTGAAAATACCAATACTACACTGCATATAGAAATAATGTACCAGATATGAAACACAATAAATTTGTTTAATGGTTTTGCAAAAAGGAACTGTCCAAATATTAGTGCCTGGACTTTATAAAACTATGACTAGTTTTTGTTACAGTTTGGCCGGGGGTGCGACTAATACTCATGTATCAGTGTATCAGCTGGGGGGACGTTTTCAATTTTTCAGTGATCTATTTGTATTACCAGATGTATTTTGGTCATCAACAACGACAAAATGCGACTTATATACTCCGGAGCGATTTATAATCCGAAAAATACGCTATACACTTTTGCTTAGCCAATCAGCTCTCAGCCCTATACACTAACTGACTGTTATAATGTGAATGGACGGAGATAAGCCTTGTCTATATACGTTTGTAGTGTTTCGCAGGTGGATTGTGTGCACTTACATACATAGTACTAGGGCTGGGCGATAAAACCATAACGATATATTATGCGATAGACACGTGTTCTATATCAATAGAAAACAGGGTCAATAGAATGTTTGATCATTTAACTTATGATCAAAACGTTAGAAAAAAACAGGAAGAAACCACAAGAAGTAAAGCCGAGTCAGAAGCGCATGGCATTCTGGGGGATGTAGGCAGAGACTTCTTGACCTATCACCATGCGCAGGAGCTATGAATAGGGCACTGTCTGGTTTCCGAAATGTGCTAAAAATAGCTCAGATGACTGCGCATGCGCGCATGTTTTGGACAAACATTGTGTACGACTCGTTGAGTACTACTGTGTTCTCCACATACGCGCAGGGCTGGACTGGCCATCGGGCGTACCGGGCAATGCCCGAAGGGCCGATGCCCATATTTGGGCCGGTCTGTCTGCCACATACAAAACACATGTTTGTGAAAAGTGTAAATCCGTTGAGAAATGTTTGAGGGGAGCGCGCGTGTCCGCGGGGCACCTGCTGTATGTACTCGAACGGGATTCCACCACCTCAGCGGCCGCAGTGTTCCCGCATCCAGCGGCTCTGAGCTGGAGGCAGGAACCGCACACAACACAACACGGTGAGCGCGTAGCCGCAACGTGACCATGTACCCAAGACCATAAACGCGCACAGGACCATGCATGTCTTTTCGTAATTTGTGCACCCAATAAATACACCGCTGCAGAAAACAGTCCGCGTCTCCCCTCTCCTCTCTCCTCTAAATTAAAGCTCGGGTACCTAAATTTTCCATTGCATTAAAAGTTCATGTTTGAGCCCAAAAGTAAAATGTTGTGAACAGATTAAACGGAGTAGAGCCAGCTAATGGCTGACAATATGCATTTCAGAAATTTTTACCAATTCTCATCCCTGTAACAAACAATATTGTCTGTGCCCACCTCCCTCACTCTGAGACATGTTTATTACTCTGTTTAATGTAGACTATTGTACTGTATTTTATTGTTGAAACTGGAGAGATCCTGATCCTCTACAGTATATTCTTCCACATACTGTATAAACCAGGGGTCGGCAACCTTTAGTGTCCCTAAAGTGCCAGGCGGCGTGTGCATTATAGACTGTGTGTGCGCATGGATCCCAAAGATAAAGAGAGAGAGTCGATAAGACTGGACTAAGAATGAGAATGAACATTTACTTTCAGTCAATGAGGAAGGACTGCTTCATGTTTGCGATGTAATGAAAAGTTTTGTTGCAACAGGAGGAACAATGAAGCTTTAAACACCGTTCACTGAAAGATTCATTCATCATAAAGTCAGAGCACCTATTTTCAGACTTCAAATACCTTCGCAAAGACGGTGAAAGAAAAGGCCATTAAGGACATTCAGCTCCAGCAAACTTCAGCCTGTGATGGATATGAACAGACAGTGATGCAGGTGAACTCGGAGACAAAAAGCAGATGTATTTACTGTATTTGTACAATTGGATGAAGGCAAAAAAATGGAAGTTAAACTTAAAGCAGAGTCGTCCCGTGGTGCGTCATTCTCTCCAGGACACGCTGCAATGAAAATACACATTTGATAATCATGAATGGTTTTTATGTGTTTAGCCTTTACTTTGTCATTTAGATATTAGTCTAATATAGCTAATATAGCTAATATAGCTAATGTAGCTAATACAGCTTCAGACCCTGTTACCTTCATATAAGCCTTATACAACGCTGTTATTTTTTTTTTTTTGTCAAATAGGGCTCCTTGAACCTTTTGAGTTGCCTGGGCCGCTAAAAAGGAAAAAATGCCCGGGCCGTTTTTTTGTCCCAGTCCAGCCCTGCATACGCGTGTGTATTTACTTGGGCTAAATCATTGAATCATGGTGACAACAAAACACTGCAGTTATGGTGCTTGTCGGAGCGATTTCAGATACTCTGAAAAGGACTATATGTAAGTAGTAACATTCAACCCGTTCGTTAAACCACAACATCGGACCAGACCAGGACCAGACCAGGACCAGATCAGACCAGGACCAGATCAGACCAGATCAGACCAGGACCAGACCAGGACAAGTGCAAGAGGTGGGTGCTTGTGGTCGGCAGAATTTCTCTCATGAAAAGGTTAAAAAGGACACATGTTTTTTCAAAAAACTTCGCTGGACCAACTGTGGAGCATCCAGATCCAGTCCTAGCTACGTTTAGCTGGGACTGGACCTGGACCGCTGTATCAGGTCCGTCTGAGCTCTTCTGAATGTAGTTAGCACAAACTTTCTCTTTATACCATTTACCCCATCAATCCATATTAGTATTGTTTGTCCTAATCCAGAAAGTATACACTTCTCACACCTGAAGAAAGATGAGAGGGATTTTTTTAACTTTGTGACTATCGGAAAATAAGTACAGACGAAGCTCGTCGGGGTCCGCTTATTGTACGGCTTTGTACCAACTGCACACACAAAATAAACTACAGTCACTTTTATTAATGCCGAAAGGTTTATTTAATGAGTGCAAAGAAAATAGTTCCCAAAGGTTTTCCCGTGGCAGGCGAGTAACAGTGAGGCTAGTTAACCTACTTCAAAAAAGCGATCGATTTAGTCGCATTAAAAAAGTATTTTTGTCATGAAAACCTGAACAGATAATTCTGAAAACCTCCGTGCACTTGTGTGAATGTATGTAAAATATATTCTCCCATTAACATTTAAATGTGTTGATTGATTGTCATTTGCGTTTATTGAGTGTGGCTAGCTCCGATAGTTTCTCTATCAGAGACAGTAGTGGCGTAGCCCGTTGTGACCCCATGGATCACAACGGGCAGTAGCTAACTATATGATCAAACTAATTACAAAGTGGACAGTACAAAAAACAACTTGATAAATGGAAGTTAATTACAGCAAAATAAACAAAGAAGGCGCTAACATTGCAATTTAAATGACAGGATAATGTTAGCATAATCCTCACCATTACATTTTTATCAAATCAAACTTTCTACCAGTTACTGGAAGACCATGACATTCAAGCCAACGTTTTAATTGGTCTACACTATGATCCCTGATGGTTTGATGGTGGAATTTTGCTCCTGGTATATCATTTTTGTCTAAAGTGACAAGCGGTATTTGATTCATTTCGGCAGTGTTTGTCCGAAACATGTGGGCGGGAGTTGACAGGCGGCGGGGGCGTATCTTAGTGACGTCATTCAGATAGTTCGCTATTGGGTTTCAATGCTGTGTCAATAGTTATGCATGTCCGTGCGTGGAATAGCATGTGCGGCGCGGTAGAGGAAGTGGGCACAGAGACCCGATGCATTCGGCAAAAGCAAGAGATTAACTTTTTCCTCGGGAAGCAAGTGCGGCTATCAGAGAGCCGCACAGGGCCAT